GCTGGGAGGAGTGAGGAAGCAGACAGGCACCCTTTTCACTGGCCAACAGTTAACTGAAAGTTCAATTTTTGCACTTTCCCTGCCTCCCACGTGGTTCTTTTCAGTTCTTAACTCAAATCTAAGTATGTAAGTCAAGTCAATATTTTCCTATGAGAGTGGTTCTTAAGTCAAAATGTTCTTAACTCAAGCCGTTCTTAAGTCAAGACCCCACTGTACTGGATAATGTCTGCACAATGGCACACTGGCACTCAGTGAGGTCCCAGTAAAAAAATAAATACATTGTTAAGTACCTGTATGTTTTGCGGTATAGTTGTAAAACAGGGCAACATTGCTCATTGCCTCTTTGTTTTTGTTGCAGAATTCTGGTAGTTTTTTGAAAAGGCCATCTAACTGTCGTGACAAGCCATTTAAGTAAGTTTTTTTAAAACAAAGAATTTCACCTAATTGCCGCACAAAGTTCCTGGGAAAGTGATACTGTACTTTGGTTCTCATTGAAGGTCAGGTTCAGAAGAATCCTAACTGCCAGTAAAGGTCAAAATATATTAATTCTGAGTGCTAGGGTAAAATGATAAAAAAAAATTTCATTGATTGTGCTATACTTTCCCTGCCCCCAAATCCCTTTGTGGGCAAGTTGGCACAAACCCTCTGCCAACTGGTTATCTTTCTGTTTAATCTTTGTGCTCTTTTTAGTATATTAAACATTTTTAATGGCAGAGGAAGAAAACCTATAATTTCCTCACTTAATTCTGCTTACTGGGTCTTGCTGATTTGTGTATGGAAAAGAATGGTGAAATTCTGTTGAGTGACTGCCAAGGTAGCTGAATATATTTTCTTTTATTTATGAACAAAATGGGCTGGTGAACTGGTATTTGGATGAGTCTGGAATGGTAAAAATTCCCTGATCTGTTTTAGTTAGTTAAGGATGACTATTTCTGATCTTCTTGCTATTTTGAAATGGCAATTCCTGCTCATTAGTTTTCTTTTTCCCTTCTTCCTTTCAAATCTATCATGTCTGGTCTTCTACAGAAGTGTAGACTTGGATCACATTATGGAGGAAGGTTATGAACTGGACCTGATTTACATCACTGAGCGAATCATTGCTGTGTCCTTCCCAGCCAGCTGTTCAGAGGAAGCCTATCTGCGTAACCTTCAGGATGTAACTCAAATGCTTAAATCCAAACATGGTGACAATTACCTGGTAAGGATTCATGCAGTCTCTGCTGCTCCATGCAAAAGTCTACATGTTTAGATTGAATATACTTATATTTGTAAGTGTGATTTTAGAGCCAGTGTGGTATAGTGAATACAAGGTGAGCTTAGGACTTTGGAGACCAAGGTTCAAATTTCTGCTTGGCTAAGGAAACCCATTGATGGGTGACAGTGCTAAATTACTCCTTGAATATACTGTATTGAGACCAAGGTTCAAATTTCTGCTTGGCTATGGAAACCCACTGATGGGTGACAGTGCTAAGTTACTCCTTGAATATAATCCTAAGGCAAAATTGGTTAATAACTTTGTTAGATCACAAATTGGTGCATCTTATGGAAAGGTGCGTCTTATGGTAATCCTAAGGCAAAATTGGTTAATAACTTTGTTAACGAAAAAAAATCACAAAACAAAAGCTAGCTTTTCATACTGGGCACCACAGAGCTGTAAATGGTATGGAAAAAACAGGAAGGTTTTGAAAATCACATTGAAATCTGCATGCCAGCCTGCGTGAGGCACAGTGGCTCTATAACATCTGTCTGCCAGCTCATGTGCCCACCTGCCTGCCCACCTGCCAGTCCTTCTGAAAAAATGCTTGCCTACTTGTCTGCCAGTCTGTAAACATGCCTCTTCTCAAGCTAACGTCAGAGGTCCAGCCACTGATTCCAGCCTCCTTGGTCTCCTAACTGTATTAAGTAAACAATATAAAATGAGATCTAGAGAATGTAAGGGTAAGTTGAATACTTTGTCTGCCAGTCTGTAAACATGCCTCTTAGCCTTCCCAAGCAAACGTCAGAAGTCCAGCCACTGATTCCAGCCTCCTTGAGCCAGGTTCTGACCAAGTCCTGCCGCCAATTCCAGCCTCTTCAGGTCAGGTTCAGAAACAAGTCCTGCTGCTGATCCTAGCCTCCTTGGGCCAAGTGCTCAAGCCCAGCAGCCAATTCCAGCCTCCTCAGGCCAAGTTTTGCCTCAGTGGCAGGGCTGTATCCTACCTGGAAGCATTGAATGCCAACATGGCAGGGGTGTACCTGACCTGGGAGCCCAAAACACAACATTTTAGATACATAATTCGTTCTTTTTGTATTCAAATCCCATCTTGATGGCAAACGCCTCCCTCTGTCACTTATCCATGTGGCAAATTTCTGCCACTACACCACCAATGTGAAAAGGAAGCCTGCCTCCGCTAATGTCTCTCCCCACGCTATATCGTGAGAATCATATTGGTACCTGAGATGCCCGAATCTGACATCTTGGGGGATCCTGCCTGCCAGGCAGAAACCATGAGCCACTCAAACACCCCCAAGACCTCATCTTGGTCATGATGTCAACTGCCTAGAGAAGACCTCTGCCAAAATGACTGCGATGCTGTTGAATATATTTACTTATTTACTTATTTACTTATTTATTTATTTATTTATTTATTTATTTATTTATTTATTTATTTATTTATTTATATGCCGCTCATCTAGACATAGTCTACTCTGGGCGGCTCACAACATACAAGATAAAAACAATTTAAAATATACACAGTTTTATATTAAAAAACAAAATGATATAAAATATAATATTGTAAATTTGCATTTTTAACAATTAATTTAAAGCAAACAGTCCCAAGATGGCAAGAATCAAAAGAAGATAAATAATAAGAATGACTTAATCGACTAAAGGGAAGACCTGCTTGAATAGCCAAGTTTTCACCTGGCTTTTGAAAATGCCCAGCGAGGGTGCCAGCCGAATTTCGGTAGGGAGGGTGTTCCACAGCCGAGGGGCCACCACCGAGAAGGCCCGATTTCTTGTTTTTTCCTTCCGGGCCTCCCTCGGCGTCAGACCCCTCAGCCGTCCCTGCTGGCTGTGTCGGGTGATTCGGGTAGATCTGGGTGGGAGAAGACAATCTGCCAGGTATTGAGGTTCCAAACTGTTTAGGGCTTTATATGTAATCATTAACACTTTGAAGTCAACGTGGAAACAGACAGGCAACCAGTGCAAAGCAGCCAGAGTGGGGGGGAGATATGTTGGTGTTTTCTCACCCCACTAAGAAGCCTGGCTGCTGCATTCTGGACCATCTGAAGTTTCCGCGTCAGCCTCAAAGGTAGCCCCACGTAGAGTGTGTTACAGTGGTCTAATTTTGAGATTACGAGCGCGTGGACTAGAGTAGTGAGGCCCCCCCCATCAAGATAGGGTCGCAGCTAGGCAATCCGCCATAGATGGAAATAGGCGGAGCGGACCACGGACGCCACCTGGGGTTCCATGGTAAGCGCCGGGTCCAGATGTACCCCCAAGATGCGGACCTCACTCTTTGCGGCGAGGGTTGTCCCCCCAAAAGAAAGTTGCTTATACCGCTGGTGGAAGGACCACCAACCCTCAAGACTTCCATCTTGTCCAGGTTCAGCCTCAACCCATTCGACTGCATCCATTCCAATACAGTCTCTGGGCAGCATGAAGGGACAGTACGGCATCCACTGAGGTGAAGACAAACTCTAGTTCGCTGCCCCACACCTTATTACCCGCTGAGGGCAAACTCTGCTTTGCTGCCATATGCCTCATTGCCTGCTGGGGACAAACTGTACTTTGCTGCCATATGGCTCAATGCCTGCTGAGGGCAAACTCTTAGCTGTTAGAACAGTATAACAATGGAACCAACTAACTTGGGGAGGTGATAAGAAAACTCTTAACTGTTAGAGCAGTATAACAATGGAACTAACTAACTTGGGGAGTTGATAAGAGCTCCAGTGCTGGAGGCATTCAAAGAAAATTGAACATCCATCTGTCAGATCTACTTTGACTTGGTTTCCTGCACTGAGCAGGAGGTAGGCCTCAGTGGCCTTGTAGGTCCCTTCCAACTCAATTATTCTGTTATTCTGTTGTAATTTTCCTGTTAGAGCAGTATAACAATGGAACTAACTAACTTGGGGAGTTGATAAGAGCTCCAGTGCTGGAGGCATTCAAAGAAAATTGAACATCCATCTGTCAGATCTACTTTGACTTGGTTTCCTGCACTGAGCAGGAGGTAGGCCTCAGTGGCCTTGTAGGTCCCTTCCAACTCAATTATTCTGTTATTCTGTTGTAATTTTCTTATTTGTTAAATCTAACAATGGAACTAACTAACTTGGGGAGTTGATAAGAGCTCCAGTGCTGGAGGCATTCAAAGAAAATTGAACATCCATCTGTCAGATCTACTTTGACTTGGTTTCCTGCACTGAGCAGGAGGTAGGCCTCAGTGGCCTTGTAGGTCCCTTCCAACTCAATTATTCTGTTATTCTATTGTAATTTTCTTATTTGTTAAATTTTGAGGTTTCCAAATGTGATAAGGAGATAGTCCAGAGCAGTACATTGCACTGTCTGTAATACTCCATGGCCATTTGGGGAATATATTGCTCAAAATCTTGTTGCTTGCCATAGTAAATTGCCCTATTGAATCATTGGGGGTTTGAGTTAACATCTCTGTAAGTTCCATTGATTCAAATAGGCATATCCTGACCGTGACTTACTATGTTAACCTTAAAACTAAAGTAAGCCTAGTTGAATGAAAGGAATGTTTGGAGAAGTTGACTCACCAAATTCCTGTTGATACAGTGGGCTACTTTAGTGCCATTTACTATGCTGAGCAATAGGATTTTGCCCATTGAAAGCATCCAAGCATATAGAATGCATTTGCTTTATCCCAATACAAAAATATTCAAGAGGAATTGGAATGTTTTTCTGACAGTTGAAGTGAAAAGCCCCTATCTCTAGAGAAGCCCCATTTACTTCTTAGGTGACTCTCTTCCAATGCTTTCTGTGTTCTCCAGAACTATAACTATCTTGGCACTTCCTTTCCTGAAACTAAATAGCTGGCTGCTGATAGAGGCTACAGTTTGCTGCTGGCACTGCCTATACCACTGACTTCAACACTGTCAGTAGCACCTTTTTTTCAGCAACATAGACATTTTTTCCACTACGTAGTGGAAAAACAGCAATAAGCTTGTTATGTTCCTCTTCGGTAACTCTTCAGTAACTATATATTTTTGTTCCCCTCCTCTTTGCTAAACCTGTCAATGGTCTCTTGTCTAGTTAAACCTGTTGATGTGACCAGAGATTCTTGTGGCTGTTAAAATCACCAATTATAAGGTAGTGGTGAATGCCAGGATTGCTACAAGGCACTCAGACTGCTCTTGCATGGCTACTTATTCTGGAAGTACATATTTTAAAGAAAATTTCCTATATGGGGCCCTGCAAAGTTTTGTTTCCCTCATATCTCATTTTATTAAAGAGCAAGACATTGTCAGAATTGTTGATGTGACCAGAGATTCTTGTGGCTGAATGCCAGGCTTGCCACAAGGCACTCAGACTGCTCTTGTATGGCTACTTATTCTGGAAGTAGATCTTTTAAAGAAAATTTCCTATATGGGGCCCTGCAAAGTTTTGTTTCCCTCATATCTCATTTTATTAAAGAGCAAGACATTGTCAGAATGGCAGGGCTCATAAATGACAGTATGCTAGGATTCCTGACTTATCCTGATGTTACTGTGAAGAAGCAAAGCATTGTTTCATGTAGCCCATTTGCTCCTGTTTCATTTCCTCCTACTTGCATCTGCACTGCCCAGTTAAAACATTCTTTTTTTAAAAGAAAAATCTTTGATTCTCAAGACTGTACAGGATGGACTTTTGGGATTTATACTTTGCTGAGGAGACCAAGAACAATAAATGACAGTATGCTAGGATTCCTGACTTATCCTGATGTTACTGTGAAGAAGCAAAGCATTGTTTCATGTAGCCCATTTGCTCCTGCTTCATTTCCTCCTACTTGCATCTGCACTGCCCAGTTAAAACATTCTTTTTTTAAAAGAAAAATCTTTGATTCTCAAGACTGTACAGGATGGACTTTTGGGATTTATACTTTGCTGAGGAGACCAATAACAAGATCATCCACACCTACTGTATTCACGATGAATATGTACAGTGGTGCCTCGCTTAGCGATCGCTCCACTGAGCAATGAATTCGCATAGCGAGGGGGTCCAGGCCATCGCTGGAGCATTTGCTCAGCGATGGCCCCTATGGTGTTTTTTCGCTGTGCGATGATCGTTAAGCGGTTCGCTTAACGATTTTCGCATAGTGAAGCCGTGCAGAACAGCTGATTGGCGATTCCAAAATGGCCGCCGGAACTTTTCGCGTCATGCCCTCGCTTACCTAGGGCGCGAAAATGGCCCCCCCATGGAGGAGCTTCGCCCAACGGTGAGTTTTGGGGCCCATTGGAATGCATTAAACCAAGTTTAATGTGTTTCATTAGGTTTTTTTGTTCCGTTGTTTCCCATAGCGAGGGAACTGTACAGGTGTAAAAGCTGGACAGTAAAGCAAGGTGACAGGGAAAAAATAATTTGTTTGGAATATAGTGCTGGAGGAGAGCTTTACTGATACCTTGGACTGCCAGATAGATGCAGAAGTGACTTATAGAGCAAGTCAAGTCTGAACTCTCTCTGGAGGCAAAAATGATAAAACTAAGAGTGTCATATTTTGGGCACATTGAATATTCTCTGGAAAAGACAATAATGCTAGGAAAAATTGAAGGCAGAAGGAAAAGAGGAAGAACCATTGTAAGATGGATTGACTCCCACAGGCTTGAGTTTAGAAAAGCTGAGCAGGGCTGTTGTGGGCAAGACATTTTGGCGATTGCTCATTCATGAAGTCGCCACAAGATGAAGGTGACTTGGTAGCATGTAACAACAAGAAAAAAATGCATGATTTGCTGTTTGGGAGCTAAGTGCATTTCCTGAACATTAGTGAATTCTAAGAACCGTGTCAAACTTCACTTGCCAGAATAATAAATCAAGAAATACATAACTCCATAATTCACGTCACCTGCAGTCACCTTGCAATATTTAATAAATGAAATCTTTAGTAATTTGGTTTCTTATCTTGTGGTACTTTATACAACAAGGAAAGCTATGTGCCAAAGACTCAAGGCAAGGAAAGAAATGTACTCACTGGATACATTTATTTACTGCCCTGTCAAAGAGAAGCACTTGCAAGTCCATGAGTTTTAAAACAAGAGAAAGTGAAGCATTTTTATACTTCTGTCATTAAAATTAGTTGGTCTTTTAAAAAGAGCTTGGTTTCTCTTGGATCATGCCTGGATACCTTTTGTAAAGGCAGATCTAGCAGTACCCATACATTTTTTTTGCACTTTCTCTTCGTAAAATATATTGAAATTCTTCCATCTTGTTCAGTATTTACACTAATGCTTTGTTATGAAGTGTATTGAATGTAGTGATTAAAACACATATGATACTTAAAATGCTATTTTCCTTTCCAACAGGTATTGAACCTCTCTGAGAAAAGATATGACCTTACAAAGCTTAATCCAAAGGTATTTATTATATTTCATATTAAAAAGACATTACAGCTAGAATTTTTTTAAGTAATTTGAATGCATGCAGACTGAGATTGCTCCTCAGTTTTGAAATGCTTAGCCAAAGTATATTTACTTGTCATTATATTTATGTGGCCTAGGTCACGTATTTGCCTGGGCTGTAGATGCCATTCAGCTGTTTTCCTCTCTGTACAAATATATAAAGCCCATGTGTAAAGAACAGTTCTTAGTGGTCTCTGTGAATACACACAATAGGGTTGTTCTGGTCTTGCATAGAGGTTTTCCGAATCTTCTAGAGCTTTAGCTCACATTCGCCAGGACCACCCCCTTAGTACACGCGGCCCACCCATACTGGCGAGTGCCTCCATTTCTTTTTGCTGCTGCTGAGGTCTCATCTCTCAATGAACAGTTTCATTTGCCATTCTTTTTCTTTGAGTTTATTCTCCATCTGCAATCTTCCTTGTGAGTTCTAAAGAGAAAGAGGGAAAGAATAGAGAAGGAGTTAGTTTGGAAATGGCACTGGATTGATAAATCCTCCCCTTCCCTCGCCCCTCCGCCATTTTATGGCCCCTACAGGCCCCCTGAAGAGGTGCAACTCTTGCCTCAACAAGATTCCTCTCTCCAATGGTCACGAACAGTGTCTTTTCTGTTTTGGAGACATGCACTAACCTTCCTTTTGCCAGGCTTGCAAAAACCTCACCAAGCTGAAACTCCAACAAAAGTGATTTTTTTTAAATGCTCACTTGAGCTCCCTCAGCCATTAATGATGGACTTTAAACCAATGCCTCAACCTCATGACTCTACTAGTTGAACTACCCTCTGCTTCGCTACTGTCAAGGCTGCCTCAGACAAAAGCAAAGTCCAAATCGGCCTCCTAAACTAAATCCTCAGCATCAGCTTCGAAACTGGGATTGACTTCAAAATCAGCCTCAACTTCTGCCTATTCTCCTAAAACAGCTAAGAAGAAGTTATCCTCGGATGTGCTCAGTTACAAGTCTAAACATGCCCCAACACCCTCGGCTGACTAACCTGCCACCACCGATTATGGAGCAGGAGATGGTCTGTTTGGATTCCCCATTGGGATGATGAAACTCCTCTTCCATTATCAAGCCATGCGCCGTCCCCTGCATTCAGACAGTTGCCTGAATGGGGAACTACCTGGGCTGAGGACACAGTGATTATCCAATCAGTGTACTTGAGCCCCAGGTCCTTGGGATGTTCGTTCTCTACTCAGAACTCTTGACATCTTCTATCATAGTTGAACTCTGCCACCTCACAAGAGTACCCCATACTGTGGGTATTGGCCAGTATGATGCCGACCCACCTCAAGCTGTCCTGAGACAGGAGCTACCAGCATCGCAGTATAACCAGTCTTGATATCACTACCCAAAGCATGTCACGCTCTACAATCATCTGTAAGGACAACAGCATCATCTCTTGTGCTGATCCCTATTAGATAAGGATGTAATCGACCTATCACTCTAACAGATGACGACCCAGGATTCTACTCCCTTTACTTCACCATACCCAAAAGGGATGGCAGTCTTTAATCTACCTTGGATCTCCATTCACACTTGGAGACTCCACCTGCAAGTTCAAGATCCTGCCCCTTGGCTTCTCCACTACCCCGAGGGTCTTCATGAAATATATGGTACCTGTAGCTGCACATCTGTGTCTTCACAATCACCATATTCTCATACATTGGTTACTCGTTGCTTACTCTCATACAAAGGCTCTACACAATGTCCAGCTTACCCTGTCTCTCTTGGTGGATCTGGGACTCAAAATCAGTGTATCCAAATCCATCCTGGCCCCTCCTAGATTGTTTTCTACTTAGGAGTGCCCTGGACTCATGGCATGCCTGTTCGTCCAGAGGAGAGGGCAAAGAAAGTTCACACACTCCTGAACCATTTCCGACTCTGGGCCGTTGTCACAGTCTACTGAGCCCAACATGCTTAGACTTATGGCCTCCATGACCTTGGTCATCCAACACACCCAACTGAAAATGGAGTCACTGCAAGCATGGTATCTGACTCTGTTCAACCCATTTGTTGACTACGTTGCCAAACCCTTCAGAGTAATAGAGAAACTGGCAGCGCAACTTGCCTGATGGAACACCACACACAATTTGCTCATTGGCAGGCCCTTCAGAGCCCTTCAACCCTCTATACAGATCACTACAGATGCCAGCCTTACTGTCTGGGGGGCACACTGCAACAGCCTCACAATCTATGGCCTCTGGTCTCTTATGGAATGCTAGCTCTGTATCAACTATCTAGAGCTGCTTGCTATCATCAAGGCTTTCTGGGTGTTCAAAACCCTACTGGTGGGATGAGGCATACAGGTCACCAACAACAACACAGTCCTATTCTGCATCAACAAGCATGGAGGCATTCACTCCTTCTCCTTCCTTTATCTTGCGATCCACCTGTGAGAGTGGTGCTATGAACTCCATATATATCTAATGGTCATCCATGTCTCCACAGAGGACAACACCTTGAGCAAGCTCCACACCCGAAACCACGAGTGGTCCCTTGATAGCTCAGTGTTTCTCCACCTCTGCCAACACTGGAGCGCTCCAGTTTTTGCCACTGCCAGCAATACAAAATGTGGCAGATACTGCTCCAGAGCAGGCTATGGCCCCAGGTCTCTAGGAGACACCTTCCTGGCCATCTTGTTGCCCAGCCTGTTGTATCTCTTTCCCCTGATGCTGCTCCTTCAGTGGACCATTGTCAAAGTCTGACAAGATGCAATCCTGATAGCCCCCTGGTGGCCCAGGTAACTGTAGTTCACCACCCTGATGCCCTGGCAAGCAACTTCCTCCACCTTCCATCACTGCCAAATCTCTTGACACAGAATCAAAGGAGGATATCCCACCCAGAGCTGCAGACATGATACCTCACAGCATGGAGTATTCTCCCTCCATAGCCCAAGTTTTGGTGCAGGCTCAGAAACCATCAATGAACCAGGTGTACTCTTATAAGTGGACTACCTTCTCTAAATTAGTGCAGTTGCATGACTTTCCTACCATTCCAAGGACACTAGATACTGTCTTGGCATTCCTATTCCACTTATTCAAGTGAGAAATCTCTAGTCTCAAAGTATACATGGCCACTATAACAGCATACCAACCTCCAGACGCTGCCAGCTCCTCACTCTTCCACACTTAAACAATTTCTCAAGGGACTCCTGAATATCTGATCATCACTTCAGCCACCACCACCCCTCAGTGGTTTTACATCACCTCATTCTCCCCCCCCCTTTCAGTCTCTAGCTACAACGTCTGAAAGACTCTTGTCTCTCAACACTGTATTCCTGGTTGCCATAACTTCGGTTCATCAAGCAAGTGAATTGGCTGCACTGCACATACAGTAGATCCTCCTTTCCTCCAGTTTCATCCTCATAAGGTCACTCTCTATGCAGATGTCTCATTCCTCCCCAACATGGCATCCAACTTCCACATCAGGCAGCCCATTGTTTTACCTACTTTTTTCCTGTTGCCCTCCAGTGGCCTCGAGTGCTCCCTGCACTCCTTCGATGTCTGTCTGTACAGGTATGAAGGTGATCTCCTGGGTTATACAACGGAAATCCAGAAACCTGTTGTTTTCTTCCTGGCAGCAGTCACCAGTTCCTTTGTTCTCACAGAAACAAGGAGGAGTCCCACGTTACACCCACCCACCCTCACTTGCACAGAGGTGACAGCCTCTCCCTGCAGACTCTTACCCCTTGCAGAACTGTTTGACGTGAGTGCCATGATTCCAGTCCCCGATCACGCTGCATGGCTGCTCGCTGTTAATTAAGGAAAAGACATGGGAGGTGGGGGGGGGAAGAAAGCCCAAGAAGAGAACTGTGCTTGCCTGTGACAACTTTCAATATGGTGCTACGGGGCTGCCCTTGGCCCTTAAAGAGGAAATGCAAAGACTATTCAGGACCCTGCTTGGAAGAAAGAGTGGACACGATCCCCAGACTCCTCAGGAATGTTAATAAGACTGTAGACCAAGGGTCTTCAAACTTTCAGAGGGAGGTCCACATAATATATGTTCCATATCTTTGAATGCTGAAGAAAGATGCAC